GACTATAGCTCATATGTATACATACACGTATAGAGCTTATGTGGATTTGTAGGTCATGGTGTGTGCACATGCAGCAGTTTGTAGGGTGCAGGGTGCGGGGGTTTAGGTGGTTTAGGGCTTGCAGTGTGCATGGCTCAGCCAGGCGTTTTGGGATTGAGGGCGCAAGGTTCGCAGCGTGCCATGCTGACATCTTTATGCAATGGTTCCTGGTTCTACTGCTATTGTCAGACATGCTTATCCGCGGCTATGTACGATTCTCAGCACAAGAACTGACATGGGGCGACCGGGATTCTGAGCTTATTGGTCCTAGAATATCTGTGGAACAGTGTAATTATGCAATAAGTCAAACACAATTTATGCCTGGTTCTCCATGTTCGCTTCTGAGCCTAGATTCTCCAGATGAAGTCAGGGTTGTAGAGGTGTACAAGCTTCAAAGGATGGAAGGGAGGAGGCTGTTGAGTGGTACCGTGCCCCGGAACCTCATCGATCCAAATCCCAGGCCCTCAACTGTTTAGGGTGTAGGGTCCCAATACACCCGAAACCTCAGTTCCAAGAGGCTGGCGCGGGGAAGGAGTATCCATCGACTCTTGGCAAAAGCCTTTGAAATAAGTTGCCCTGAACACTTGGAAGTCCATGGCTACGGATTACATACCTATAGCTGCATTTATAACTAACTTATAGGCCCCCAAAGCCTCCAAATATGGCTATAAGGCTCTAATTGGAGTACCCAAGGACCTCCAAGTACAGGGTCAAGGGTTTCTAGGGTTGATGCCTGGAGTTCAGGTGACCCCGCCATCCAACAATCTTGCCCAGTGGAGGACAACTTAACTAACCCCCATTCCTCTACGCTTAAAAAGCTAAACCCTGAACCCTAAACCCTAAACCGAACCGTGATGTTGAAGAACCTTCCTAACTCTCCGGATATGGAGAAAGAAGCCCTCCCTGATGGCATTGAGAAAGCTTAAAAACTAGACTATGTTAGAACAACGTCTTGCTGTGGGGCTCTTTCAATCGGTAAGTTGAGGTAGTAGCAGGAGCGTCATATGCTTTGGATTGAGGCTGGGAACAGTTGCATAGAAAGCAGGATAAACTAGACGTCAGCCATTGTGAGTGGCATGATCTGGCGACAACCAACTTGGGTACCTGGCTGAACATTTGCTTCTATTACCCGAAATTAAGGTAAGGTAGCCGCACTGAGGGCATGTGTATTCTCAAGCTAGAACTCAACAAGAACATTAGGTAGCTATAGATTCTGCCTGCCACGGATCCTATGAACATGCCTGCCCATCCATGTCTCAGGAGTCGTCGTCTCCACATGTGTGACAGGCAGGGACAGCCGTGAGTCCCAAGTGGCAGCCAAGAGCCAGTACTCATCGCTGCTCTACGAATCTGTGACAGCCTGAGCGCCAGGCCGCCAGAAAAGAAGAGCAGTTGTTTAGGGGTTCAGGGTTTGGGGTTTGGGCATTGCTCTCATTCAGCAATAGTCTTCTGTAGCGGGCTTCATTGTAGTATGTGCAAACCTTTTTTTGTGTGGTGACTGATGCCTGCGACAGTATGCCAGGCTGTATTGCCAGGATACTGGCAGGTCCAAGGTAGTCGTTACTTACAGGGAGGCTGCCAAAGTGTAAACCCCAAGCCCTGAACCTGAACCTTGCAGCTTTCCCCGCGGGTGTCAAATGCAGGACTGGACAGGCTGAACTACCGGCAGCACATGACGGAGCGCGAAGCGTGCTGCCGCCTTGTCTTGATAAGCCCAGACCTGAAGCCCTAAACCCTAAACCCTAAATAATTAGTAGTTTCCTTTTTCTTTTCCATTATCCTATATAGCCCCCGTCATATTACCCTTATATAACGGTGTTCACAGGGTAAAGAAGGATGCTGCAGGGACTGAGCAGTGCTTATGTTGGGCTGATGGGGCGTCTTTGTATGTGGGGGATCCATCTCTCTGGTGCCCTCATGGCGGGATGGCCTCCGGCTGTCCATGGTTCTGCGGTTAGGACACAGAATCGCTTAATCTTACCTTCTGTTAGCTAGGAATGAAGGAATGGATGCTTATAGTAGTCCGTATATAACCCATTATAGTAGTTACCATTCTTGTCCATTCCTTCATTCCCAACTAACCAAAGGCCAATGATCTAGGACTTAGTCGGGAGTGACTGCACGGCTGATGGATATGGTTTGACTGAGGGTTGTTTCAAGCCTTTCAAGCTCCATTTGTTTCAAACGATTTCTCATTTTCGGTGGTTTAGGGTTTAGGATTTAGGGTTTAGGGGTTTAGGGATTTTCGGGATTAACCCTAAACCCAAAACCTCACTAAACCCTAAATCCAGTACTTGGCGTACCCCCGTGCAGGGCCTGGATAGGGATCCGATGGCGGATTCAGAAGCGCATGCTTGCTCAGACCTCTTGACACATGGTAGTTTCCATAACTAGGGGGACCCCAACTGAGACTCCCAAAGTACGCTATTCCCCTTACTGTAGGCACCCCCAAGAAGGTACCCCTATTTTTGGGAAACCCGTGCATGGAGGTTGGCAGACACGTGGCCTTCATCGCTTAAGGGTTTAGGGTTGTTCGGTGCAATCCCCTCCCTACATGATTTCTGTTCCCGACAAAATATGATGCTCAACTATATAGGGTGGTAGTTAGTAAGAATTGGGGGGGAACGGGTTGTTAGGGGCAGAGGATGGCTGCAAGGGGCACGTTTATTGAGATGCACGATAGCGCGCATTGCTTCCTTGCATAGTAGCTGGGTTTAGGGTTTAGGGTTTAGCTTTACACGAGGTAGGGGGCGCATTTTTGTGCAAGAATGCGAACCTTCTCGGCGGTATTTTTGAAATACAGTCTAGACCTTTTACATCCCTACACATACGTCCCGAGAGAAAGCCTTTGAAGACGGAAGCAACATGTGCGGGCTTTTTCGAATCACTAGAAGCGCACCTTAAACTCTAAACCCTAAACCCTAACCCGGGCTCAAGGTTCAAGGCTCAAGGCGAGGCACGCCGAGTTCCTAGTTTCCGACCAGTGACCAGCGCGCAATGGGAGACTGTTTCGAGGGCTTGTCTGCCAACACCCCTGGCCCTGAGCAGGATGTTCGCAAGGCACAGGCAGCATGGGCAAGCGCAATCAAGAGCATCACGAAGACCTACATGGACAAGGGTGACTATGTTGCAGCCGCTGCTAAAGATACTGGTGAACTGTACTGCTATGGACACAACAACGTGCTGTTCAAGCCAACCGAAGCCAAGGATGTTCAGATCTGGCCCAATGCCAATCGGGCCAGGTCCTACTTTGTAGCAGCTAAGGCCATGAGTGATGGAACTTCCAAGGATGGCGGCTTCGCAGTCAATGGCGGCAAGGGCTGGTTCAAGGTTGTCGTTGATAACCACCAGACCGACTGCCACGGCAAATGCTGCAATCGCCATGGGAAATTACTGCACAAACGCAACGGACCAGTGCAAAATCAGTGCAAGGGTCTTAGCCCCAAGATGATGGCAGCTTCGCAACCAATGGTGGCAAGGGCTGGTACAAGGTTGCTTTTGATGACCATCAGATAGACTGCCTGGCAATGTCGCAATCGCCATGGGAAATTACTGCTTCACAAACGTGACGGACCGGTGCAAAATCAGTGCATGGGTCTTAGCCCCAAGATGAGCCGTGAGCTGAGCTGTGTGAATTGGGTGCATGTGTACATATCTGTGTATTTATACCCATTGTCTCTTGCGTTGAAGAAGTAACAAAGGTTCTGCCAATTCGGTGCACGTCTAACGTGACTCGAACTAGCTAAAGGTACTAATTGGGTTTCCCGAAGTTTTTCCCTGAAAAGCAGGGCGCTCTTGGGGGCCTGTGCGAGGTAACTCCGATGAAGCTCGATGTTGGGAAGGCTCGAATGGGCCGGGCTCGTGCAGACGCAAAAGTCCATTTCCCCTAAAAAAAACCTGACCCGAACCCTAAACCCTAAACCTTAACCCGAACCCTAAACCGCACCCTAAACCCTAAACCGAACCCTAAACCGCACCCTAAACCCTAACCGGCGTGATGCCTCCCTGTCCCAGCTTGGCAGGCGGATCATGCACCATATCTTCAATGCCCAGGAAGCCCTGGGACCTCAAGACTGCTAAAAGCTATCGTCTAAACTTCTTCAAGGGGGTTATATGAGGTTTAGGGTTTCCTGCTTAGGATTTAGAGTCAGGGTGTAGGATTTAGGGTTTAGGGTGTAGAATTTAGGGTTTAGGGTCTAGGGTCTGAACTCTTTAAAGGGAGTTTTTTAGGCGAGTATGTAATGTAGTGTTCAGGGTTTAGGGATTAGGGTTTAGGGCCTGAACTCCTTAAACGGGGCTGTTTAGGGGAATACATAAGGGGAATACATAATTATATAACGTAGGGTTCAGGGTTTAAGGTCCAAACTCCTTAAAGGGGTTTATATACGGGAGTAGTTTCGGGTTTTTTAAGAAGGAAAACGGAAGTTTCAGTTCTAGCTCATTTGAATGTCTGTATGTGCATGTCGGTACGGTTTTGTTGGTTAATGGTCTTTGGTGAATGTATATGGGGCTTCCTTAGGGTTATTGGTGGGCGGCGTGTGTATGTATATATATGCGGTTGAACATAAGCTTAAAACCTATCATGTGCATGTATGTATCTAGCTATCTATCTGCATCTAGCTTCTGTATGCCTCTACGTATGCATGTGTGCCTGCATGTTTGTGTGTATGTCTACAGTGTCTACACATGAGAAAACATGTCCATCCTTCAGTTGTTTGGTTGATGCTTCAGGACTAAACCCCTAAACCCTAACGCGAACCCTGAACCCTAAAGGGAGACCAGGGTGAAGGGTCTTGTTGCTTGTTGCCTACGGTCGTCCATGTCTTCTTGCGCCATTTGCATCCTGTCGCCAACTTCTACGGTGGACACTAAGAATCTGCCTGACCCCAGGTACCCTCACACCCTGGGAACTATGAAATTTCCATTTCATTTTCCATTATCCCAATATAACCCCCAAAAAACCCCAATATTACCCCTATATAACCCCTATACAACCCTCAATCAATTATGGCACTGTAATACACTAAGGTCATGCAGGAATTCAGTGCCCGACGTTGCAGAACAAATTCTGACAGAACGCCAGGCTTTGGAATAGGTTCGGGGCCAGACTTAGGTCAACCCCCTACAGTGATAGCCTTCAAACATCATGGAGTTAACCGTTAGGGTTTAGGGTTTAGGCAGGGCCTCCATGAACCTACAATAATCCTTTGTGGTGCTCATCAATGCGTGGGGAAATTGACCCGAGGCCAGATTTGTGCTCCTTTGGAGAAACCGGGGCCCTCATCAACTTCCCATGAACGCCATGACCGCCAGAGTTGCCCAGCAAGAGAGAGTGTCGTAAAGCCCAAGAACCCTAGTCAGCTAAGCTGTCGCTCTGCCTCAATCATTCTGAACCTCGGACTAGCTGGCTAAAGTAGGGCTCAGGGTTTTAAGGTTTAAGGTTCAGGGTTTAGGGTTTAGGGTTGAGGTTTAGGGTTTACTTGGAGTACAGCGAAGCAACATGGGCGCTATTTTGGGATCTGCAGGACAACCACTTCTACAACTATGAGAAGCAAGTGCAGCTGGCACGGTCGTGTGGCCCTCAGCCAAATGTTTTCGCAAGGCTCCCTCAGGTCCCAAGGGCCGTTTTGTACAATACATGCAAAGGTATATGGGAGTCACTGCATATGATGCCCCTAGATTTCCAGAGGAATCCACCAGAATTACCTAATAATCCATATACATCCCGAGGGTCCCCAGAGACCCTGGTTTTTTGAGAAGCCAGCGCATGGAATCCCTTTGGGCTTCATAGGGGAGAGATCAAGTGGGTCGATTACAGGGCTTTTCCTGGGGTTTAGGGTTTACGTAGGCTTTCAGTGATTTCTGATTTCATATCCAGCGCGTTGAGCAATGAGGTTAGATAGCAACTGCACCCCCTAACACAAAAGAGAGAGGACTGTATATCTGTCATGTGACAGGTATCCTAAACCCTACAGCCTGAACCCCTTAATGCAACCTCACTGTGAGGGTTGAAGCTGCTAAGCAACTTTGATTGTTTGATCTTTAAGAAGCCACAGTGACATGTCAGTGTTGCTGAACGAATGACGGGCTGTGGCTTCTGCGGTGTATGAAGGATGCTTGAACTGGGTGTAGGGTTTAGGGCTCATGGATGGGTTTAGGGCTTAGGGTTCAGGGCTTTTGTACCTAGATTTTGTTATTGACATCCCCACTTATGACTGACCCATGCGGCTTCAAGTATGCATGGGCCGCCTCAGAGGACCCAAACCCTGAAAACTCTCACCATGCCTGCCAAATCATGAAGCCTAAACCAAAAACGCAAACCCTGAGGTTAAGGGTTTATGGTTTAAGTGTTTAGGGTTAGGGG